TTTAGGAAATGTTTCTCACATCTGTTGAACTTGATGACATAGCTTAGAAAGATCAGATAAAACACGTGTGCCAATTTCTGCCAAGGCATTATTCTGGTCTTATCTCGCTTCTATAGTTATGACGAACCATTTTTCAAAACCCTCTAGATTTTGGTCAAGATTTGCAACATTTTCTTTCTATACAACCTTTTTAGTGATTCTTTCAACAGACCAACAAAGCAAGCAAGAGTCTGACCAGTGTATGGCAGCACTACTTACACTCAGATAATGTTATATGTATTCACATGCAACACAGATTGGACAAATCCTTTACCAAGCACGTAACAGTCTATATCAAAGTGGCTACATCCTGCCCACATCCCCTGGAATACGGTAAGCGACACAGAATCTGAGGTATTAGAATATGTGTTAAATTCTCACGGAATTTGCCACCCAGTTCTCAGACAGTATGAAGTTCCCTGCCGGAATGCCCAGCTTCCGCTCTCGAAGTCAAGAAAACCAAACTTGGCCGTAAGTTTGTCTTAGGTAACATCAGGATCCATATGTTTAACTATAGTGTGGGAAAGAACAGGAGGTTTTGCAGTACGGTTTGGTAGAAAAGGGAAGTGTAGTATGACTTCAGCAATTGTGAATGGAAATTTTAAAAGAATGTTGGATTTTGGTAGTACACTCTGATGTATTATATGACAGTCATAGTAAAAGATGATGTCCTGAATACTGGGGATGGCCAGCTTACACCTGGCACATTTTATCTGAACCTTAAGGCTGACAAATGGCCCTCGTGTCACACTTAAAGTTTGTGCAGAATTCCTCACAACAGCTGCCTGCCTGCAGTTGTTCCTGGCCCTTTGCACCTGTCTGTTACCATGGCAACGATTTCCACTTTGTTCTGAAGAGGAATTCGTAGAAATTGTCAAGGTCAATGTGACGGAAAGTCAACATGCAGGTGTGAGCTTGACAGGAGGACATTCCATCTAACCAAAAAAAGGACATGACACACAGGAAGGAAGGAAGGAAGGAGGGAGGTAGAGAGAAGGAAGAAAAGTGCAGGAGACGGTAGATGAAAAGAAAGTGATATAGAAAAGAAAGAAAGAAGGAACTGATCAGATTAGGGTTGAAATGAAGTCTGTACTTATTCATAGTTTAATCACTGAGGTGGAAGAGAAGGCATGAGTCTGTAATGTACAGAGTCTAAGCTCAGCACAGCCAGGTCACCCAACTCTTCCTGGTGTGTTGGGTTCTTTATGTGCAAAGGTTTGACGTCTGAGGCTCCCTCCCTCCAGGACCGAAGGCTTAACATCTAAGAACGATCGATCGCTGATGCTACCCCTACCAGTCATCCAAAGCAGGGATCAAACCCTCATCCTCTGGATCTGTAGAATTCGATCCAAATGGCACAGGTGCTGTGTCTTCAACCGTTTGCGCCGACAGGGACACAAGTTATTAATGCTGCACATAACGCACTGTCACATATGCATGGCTGGCGGGATACGATATCATGCCCTCTAAGATCAAAAATCTACTTCAGACAGGTGTTTCAAGTCTTGAACGTAAGCCACTGAAACATGTGGGATGTTTGATAACACATTGTGGATGTTTACTATGCAACCTGGTCACAATACCTGAAGTGCATGCCCTGAGGGGCATGCTAGAGACGGAAATATCTCTCTCTAGATAAAAAAAAACACAAAACACACATTGTAAACATCCATCCACCATCTGGGACATTTGATAACCAGTATCTGAACGTTTGAAAGCTAATCTCTTCAAGCTGCTGGTGCTACATATTATGGGTTGTACGCAGAAAACAAAAAGTGGGAAGAGAAAAGTCAGCTGGGAGAAAGGCACGGAAAAGATAAAAAACATTTCCATCAATTGTGTGGTACTTTTGACAGGGCCGTTTGAACGTTAAGCTTGACAGAACATCATGACTGCGTAGCAAGGATTGTTCACGAAACTGGGAAGTCAAAGAGCTAGACTGTACTTTAAAGATAAGAGCTCGCTTCCATCAAACATGTGGCATGTTTGATAACTGTTTCACAGATGTGTAAAGTTCAGCCTTGGGAAAGTGCACGGCCAGCATATTAAGTGTAGCGTGAGAAACGAGCAGTCAGAAAGCAACACGGCGCAATAAAGGCAAAAAGGCAACTTCATCAATTACATGCAAGAGTTGTTTAATAGCTGTTTGAGTCGGTTTGGAAATCTTAAGTGCCGCTGTGAAAGCAGAGCAAATGCAGATGATGACTGTGAAACAGTACCTCCCACTAAGTCATAACAAAACTTACTGTTATGTTCCTCCTGGTATGTTGAGCTATGTAAGGGTCATGGCGTTGAATAGTGCAGGTGTCTCTTGTTTTTCAGTGCAGAACTCCATGGAAGTCTAAGTTACAATTTGATAACAGTACATACCAAGGCTCAAGGCATCATAGTTGTGGGTATTGAAAAGATATCTTGTATGTAGATTTTGAAGTAGACAATGAGAAGTTACTGGTACTGCAGTGGGAAAACCACCCTGTCTATAGAGGATATTCAAGTCCTAACTCACAGTAAAATACAAATATTCTTGAGGAAAATAAGACTTTTCCCAATGGTTTGTTGTATACCATAATCCCCCTAGCAGCTTCCCTGTCAAACTGCAGGTAATTCTACTATATATAGATGATAAATGGGAAATACTGTACTGCCAACGGATAAGCTCACACTGAGTACTCTCTCTACTCACTACAGTACTCTACTTGCCCAATATCATTTGAACATTCATCAAACAAGTTTGAGGACAGTGGAAAGGCCATCTCGGGACAGAAGAGGTTCTACTTTTGGTACTCAACAACACTGATGAATTACGGGGTCACCTGGGTGTAAGTGTGTCAGCGTGTATTGATCGGAACACCTTTAGGCTACGGTGGTGTGAGATGGATCCGCCTTACCTCAGGTCAGACCACCCGGCATCACCTCGTGTTCCTTCAACTGTGGTGAGTCCATCAGTTCTGGTGTGGAGGATGGCGCCAAAGTTGTCTTGTACCCATCAGCTCACTCACCCACTGTAACATGGCGGCTATGAAGTGCTGTATTGCCATTGATTTTATCTAGAAAAGAAAAACATTGAGAGCCCTTGCCTTGTGTTGTTTTCTTGTTTTTAAATTGCCTTTTTACAAAATGGCTTACTTGCTTTCTTGATGAAGCAAATCTAGAATATTTTACAACCAAAACCCCAACATCTTAGAAGGGCCTGCATGGGGGTTGTGATTATTACGCCTGACTACACCTTACAAAAAAGGGCATGCAGGCCCTCTGTTAGTGGTCATGCGGTAGTAAAGAAAGTTGGGACCTGTGTGACTTAAAAACTCACAACTACATGGTACTGAAAGTAAAAGGTACCCTACTCTATCTTCTTGTACAACCACTGATATACATACGTACTTGACATTAAACGTTCCACAACTACATATCCCGGCAAGCTCCACCGAAGTTACCACGGTTTGCATTTCAGGTGACTTAGTACAAATGTGATGGTAGAATCTGTCTTACAGTAAAAATCAATACAAGAGACCACTATCACATAGCAGTTGCCTAATAAATACTCGGAGACTCTCCGAGTTTTATAATTACAGGCTCAGCAGTATCATTAATCCTTCACATCAATAGTTTGGGTGTATCGTTTGTAGATCATAATATATCAAGACGTTATCTAACGGGCCCATCCAATGTAATATTTTGGTTCTCATATCTGACACCATTTTTTTCATCAATGAGAGAAGATACTGCGATACTTTCGAGTCCAGTGTGTAATGTTTGTATACAATTAAGTTTCTTGAGTGAACAGTGGGATGACTTTGACAGGATCAACAATTTAGCTTGACATCTCTATTAGCTATTCTTCCTGTGGTCCTGAACATGTAATAGATTAGTACAAAATAATATTATAGTGATGTGCCTGTCCTCTGTATCTGTGTAGCCGGTATAACCACCCTCTGGCGTAACACACCAGCTTCGCAGGCAGGCGGCGCGGCGGCAGCTGGCTACATTACACCGAACGACTTGTTACACCTGACCCTTGAACATCTAACTCTAAACATTGTTTAAAGCTATCTAATGATATGATAATGCCCCTACTGTACTTGGTGACAGCGAGTTCCACTCTGTGACAGTTCTAGGAAAGAATGAGTTTTTGAACACCTCAATCCTTGGTTCATAACTCCAGTACTTGAACGAAAGTTGATTAGGCATGACTACTTCTTGTTCTTTTCTGGGCCAGTATTAGATACTTAGTAGTTGGTACGTCAAGTAGTTTATTAATCATTTAATACATCATTCATAATCTGGACATTTTTTGTCAGTCTTGTCTTGGTTTTTCTGAAAAAAAAAAAAACACAAATTTTGGGGTGTAATAACCCGGCAAACATTGAATTCAGTTGGTATGGCCTTATGCCAAAGAGGAAGCACGTCAAAAGCTGCCATATCCCTCACCCCTGCCTTCATTAAGATAAGGTATACTTCCACCTATATTCTAGTCATGCAGTTTGTAGGGTGAGATAGAGGGATGTTATCTATTCTGAACCAGGAGGGCCTGGGATCAAAGTTGGTAGCAGCCTTTCAGGGTTGTATGTGAGTGAGTCATGCTTGGAATATCGCTGGCGCAGCGCGAAGGAGAGCGATGGAAGATGGGAGATAAGACAAGATTTATCTTCACTCAATCTTTAGTTTTACCTTTACCGTAGTTATGTTTGCAGCGGCAATGTTTTTTCGGTTGGTTGGGCCTGTTGCTTGGCTTGTTTTCAGTGTCATCTAGGCCAGCATATGTACAATAAATAAGAATTATTATATTAGAGTATACCTGTGGATTTATATGACAATGATGGCTTTTCATAGCAATATCCTAGCTAATATTTACCAACAATGTTTTGATAAAGGTATGATTAGATATGGATATGTACTTGAATCGATGTCATAATAAATTGTCATTCATCTAAATGTATGTTTGTTTGTTTGTTTTTCTGCAGGACAAACCGCCTATGACAATGTGCGCCCCCTGTCCTACCCTGACAGTAATGTCATCCTCGCGTGTTTCGACATCGGAACACCAGAATCTCTAGACGGAGTGGTCAAAAAGGTCAGTAATATTTCTCTCTTTGCAAAAATTATTTACTTTTCTTATGATATATCAATTCCAGTTTTATCCAGTGATCTTGCCAGCCTGAAAACTTTTTCCATCATCTCAAGTTTGTCTGACTAATAACATTATGTCAAATGTGGAAGTGACAATACTAGGGACCCTCTAAAATGCCATTTCCTGCATTTTGAGGGGCAAATTTTGCAGGTAGAATAAGCTTAGTTTAATGACATCTCTTTCCACATCTTTACACACTGGTTTTTGTCTGTTAAAGACGACAGTCCGGTCATGTAGTACGTAGTGAAGAACCAGCCAGTAGGCTTCTACTCTGGAACCCTGATACCTGTAAGAGAAGAGTTGGACGCCCAAACATAACAGTTAAGAAACTTATTGAAACTGAAACTGGCTTGGAGGGACATGAACTTTTCTCAGTGATGTATGACAGACAATTGTGGCGAGCTAACTTTGTATGCTCCACCTCTACGGAGGATGAATGATGATGATGATGATGAAAGACGACAGATTTGGCAAAATTTTGTCCATCACAAGCAGCAAAATTCTGTCAAATGACAGAAAGATGTGCGCTGGCTAGAACACTGGTTTTAACCTTCTGTCACTTGAAGCAAATCTAACCATCTCTGTGCTCCCAGACCTCATATTATCATAATCAATACACACGTGTACTTTGTGTCAAAAGTCTCTGTTAGCAAGGAGAAGGTTACAGAATGAACATACATGTAAAAATCAATACGCTCCGATAACAAAAGTTGACTTCCACTGATGGCGCCTATAGCTAAAGCTTTCAACATGGAAGACAACAGACAGTATCTAAGGCAGAAGTGACAGCAAGATTAACACTTCCCTAGTAAACTGTATTTATCATATGGCATCGAGTGGCGTAGTGGTAGAGCATTCGACTATGAAACAGTGAGACCCAGGTTCGATACCCAGTTGTACCCGGGACATGTCTGGACATGCGCCCCGACGTTGTGCCCTTCGGAAAGGCACTTAATACGACTTTCCTCACTCCACCCAGGTGTGAATGGGTACCTAACTTTGGTTAGGGAAAGTGGTATTGAGGTCACTTTGTGGTGCCGAATGGCAGCCGCACAGACCCTTGCCACAGCTCCACAATAGTGTGTGGAGCAAATATGTTATATGTATCATGTGTATTATGTGATTGTTTGTGGTTATTGTTTCTTATGTGATTGTAACCCAATTGTAAACCCTACATCAATTCAGTGCTATAGAAGGCTGCGATTGCATGGGTAATATTTGACCAATAAACCATTTTATCATCCAGTGGCACCCAGAAGTGAGAGAGTACTGCCCCAGTGCGCCCATCCTGTTGGTGGGCTGTAAGGCGGACTTGAGACAAGACCTGAAGACCGTGACAGACCTGGCCATTGTGGGGAGGAGTCCCGTCAGTCATGAACAGGTGTGTATATGACTAACTCTTCAATACTGTTAAACCTGGCCATAACAACCACTTTTTTCATAGATGCAAGCATTTAGCAACCTGTCCACCTGTCCAAGAAGACCACTTTACTTTGGTCGCTTGGGTGGCCTTCTTGGGTGGCTTGTTTGACTGACAAGGACTAAGTTGGATTGGCTATGTTTCCATTGGCAAATCTTTTCTCCAGTTGTTCAATACAGTCAAATCTGGCCATAACAACCAAATTTTAGGTTTGCAAGCACCCTGCCCAAGAAGCCAGCCTGTCCAAGAAGACCACTTTACCTTGGTTGCCTAATTGGCGTTCTTGGGCAGGTTTGACTGTATTTTTTAGGACTTACTTAAATAGGCTGAAGTAGACAGTCAGAATTCCTATGCAGTGTTTAATGAATTCTGCCACAATCGTCAAAAACTCATGACATGCTTTTACTGATTCTTAAGATTCATTGATTCTAACTTAGTCATCAATACTAAGTCAAGTTAAAAGTAAAGTCAAGGTAAAACTGTCTTGGGAAGTTGAGACAAGTTTTCTAAGCTGTCAACTCAGTCACACAGAGCCCAGTTGGCTAATATGTCTTACAAATGATACCTAATTTTAGCTACATTTTGAAAGAAACAAGTCATCAACAATGTCAGATCTACATTACAAGCCCGCAGAGTCCTCATCATTTAAACTAATTGGTTGATACAAAGTATGAAAATGGCTCAAGTCCAAGAAAGAGAGGAGCTTCGTAGCCACTTCAGGAAAATATACGTCTTGGACAGGGACAACATTAAGAAACACAGAAGCAACTAGAAAGGCCAACATTTGCTTCGGAGCAAATGTAGGAATTTCACTCCATACCCTTCCCCAAACAAAAATGAGAGATTCTAAATAAATCATACTGCAATTATACAAGGACAAGCTGTTTGAATCTCGACAGGTATTTACAAAACTGGCACTTGGCAATTATCTCCCTTTTTTTTTACAAAGATACAACGACACTTTAAATCTCGACAGCTTTACTTTACACTTTTGACGAGATTGTAACTACTACTAACGGAAGCAAAATTTTCACGGCCTGAGAAAAATGGACATGTTCACGGAAGTATATATTCACGGTGGTGACAGTTGCAGGAAAAAGAAAGTCCAGGAATTATTTCCTAACTGTAATGATAAGTTCACAATACAGAGGTGACAGTGAAACCGTGAACATTGACCCCGCTTGCGTTGCGGTAC